CTGCTGGTTGGCGACCTGCACACAGCAGGGCTTGGAGCTGGATGAGCATTGAGCTCCTTTGCAACCCAGGCCATTCTGTCATTCTATGAAACTGCACCAACAATCCAAGTGCACAATGAGGTGCTTTGGAAACCAAATGCTCTACGCTTTCTATTATTGATCATTTAATCTGTATTCCCTCAATATGATTAATTGCTTATCTAAAGTGCATTTTTCAGTCCTTGAACTGCCTAGAAAAAAAAAGTGCATTTAATAAGTTGGCTAAATGCAAATAAGCTTTAATATAGGCAGTTCTCGTTCTGCTTTGCACCTGGCATTTGGGAGCCTTCCTCCCTTGCACATCACCGTGACACTGGTCATTATAGCTGCTCTCCTACACGATGGGAAAGAATAATCCAGTCCAGCAGGGATCTCAGACAAATTCAGCATCGTTTCAAACACATATATTGTCCTTGCCTGTATACCAAAATGGATTCAGAAATCCTCCCCGTTGATCCAGGAAAAGCAGGTGCTCTCTACCAGGGACAAACCTCGACTGCTAAAGACAATCCTTTTTATCACTGCTCTGTCCAAAAGCTTTGTTCGGTCTCAGCATCTCTTTATAATGGGCAAATGCAACACTTTGCACTGTCTGCCAGGGAGCTTCAGCCTGAGGCAGGTCTATGAAAGGAGATTTTGAGATAAAGCAATTCAGGGATCTGCTTCCATTCACTGAAGCCACAGGCGATCGTCCACTGACTCCTGCAGGGACTTCGCACTGTCCTAAGCAGCACTGCAGAAGACAGGAGCTGAGCACATCAGAGGCTGTTTTATTCCAAGTTGAACTGAAATGCTTTTCTTGTTTCTGTAATCAAACAAGCCAGAAAAGAACTGGAGACTTTCACGTGCTTTATCCCAACTCTCCCAGGACCACTTTGCTCATCTGCACAGCACGACAGAGTGGATTGAGTGAGAAGGGGCAGGGGCAATTAGCAGCCTCGTGGGTAGGCTGCAAACCACTCAAGCATCATCTCTGCCAGCATTTGTGCTACATACCACAGCAAGCCATTACAGGGCACACTGCCGTGTGACAGGGAGAAATCTGCAATGAAGGAGAAGAGGATGCATGCAATAACCCCTCCAGCAAAGCCTGCTCATGGCTCCTCTCAGTATCTGGGGGAGACCCGAGAGAAAGAAGAGACCTCTGAGGATATTTTTTTAGCACAGCACACAGGAGGGGTGGTTTGGGTTTGGTTTCCCACCAGTGGAAAGTAACAGTTCAAACCCTTGGGTTGTTTGGTTTGGTTTTTTTTGCTAGCAGTCACCAAAAAAAAAAATAATAATAATAATAATAAATGCAGGCTATGCTCCTGGAAACAGACAGTCTCAGCAGGTACTCAGTTACCTAGCTATGAAATGATTCATCAGTCAAAGAAAGGCATGACAAGAACTAGCAGAAGCTTCTGGGAGCAGAAGCTGGAGCACATCCAAATTGGAGACAGGGCCCCCGGTTTTCACAGAGAACACGCTCAGCCAGCAGGAAAAAAACTGCCAAGAGCCATTCTGTTGCAGCCGAGGCCTCAGCCAACTCCTATCAGCATCTCATGACCACTCTGCATCTGCAACCTGTCACCCTTGCCATCTTCTCTGTAGTCGTGCACTGCAGTCATGCGCTGCCTCTCCTGCGAGTCCCACCTGCAGCTCTTCAGGTACTTCACCACCACGATGGTCCTCTTCCAAACCTTCATGTTCAACAACTGCTCCAATGTCTACCTTCAGAGCGAAGAGGCTGGCTGCTCCTATGTTATCTTCGTTGTACTGTGCATCACCAACCAGCACTACTTCATGCACACTTGATTCCGCACCATCTGGCCAGCACACTTCATATGGGAGCTGCTGCAGACACAGACAACAGAAGTGCTCATGAGACTGAGCTTGAGAACAGGGAAAAGACCGAGGATGAGGGTGAGAGACTCACCAGGCAGGGGCTGCATCTGCAGGAAGCCAGAACAGATGTGGCCACTGTGGATCTGGGAAAGGCCAAGTGCCTGGATCCCACCATCAGGCCCAGAGAAGCAAGAACTTGCCTGCTTCTACTGGCTGATGGATGAGGCTGAGAAGCTGCAGGAGGCGCTGAGCCACGGCTGATGCTGCTGACCACATGCTGATGTCCACCTTCAGGGAGGAAAATACAGCCCAGAGCCTACACTGCTACCCCAGGTTAGTAGGTGATGGCTGAAAGGGTGATGAGGCACGGCCATAATGGCTGGGTGGCATTAGGGTGTGAGTTCCTACAATCAAGCAGAGCTGTGTTGAAAGTTATTTCAGTTACAGGAGCCATTTATGAAGAAGGAAACAGTCTGTCAAATCTGATTTTGCTCCATTTGATGTTCTGTTGAATTTCTGCTGAACAAGTGGCTAAAAGATTCCACTGTAGTAAATTCCAAGGCTGGTAGCCAAATTTCTACTCTTGACAGCAGTCAAAATCTTTGGAGTTCTGAAGACAGGTAACAATGACACAGACCTTCTGATAGCACTCAGATGCAAGATCCGTGAGCCTTTTCAGGCTAAAAATGAACGAGCAAAAGAAATACTTAACAAAATTTGGAACACCAGTTGGCAGCTATGTAGCAATAGCATGAAACCTTTTCAATCATCACTGCTCACTCAGTTGTGTAAAGTGAAGGAAAAGGAAGGAATTGTGTGACAAGCTGATGCACATAATTGAGATGTACCTCATCTACATTAGGTTACATCTTGGATCTAGAGAACTAACTTGATGTTAAAAGCTTTTCTTCTTAAACTATCCCTAGTGCAAGCAAACCTGCGCTCTTTGTCATGGCTGTCGGGTGAAATCCCCAGTGATTGGTAAAAGGGAAACATCTTCACTGTTTTTAAGAAAGGGAAACATGAAGATCTGTGGAGCGACAGAGCAGTGAGCCTGGGAGGATCATGGAGCAGATCCTTCTGGAAGCCATATTAAGGCACATGGAAGACAAAGAGGTGATCCCAGACATCCAGCATGGCTTCACCAAGAGCAGCCTGTGCCTGACCAACCCAGTGGTCTTCTATCATGGAACGAGAGCGTTGTTGCACAAAGGAGTGATAGATACCATCTAGAGGGACTTCCACAAGGCATTTAACATGGCCCTGCACCACATCCTTATCTCTCAATTGGAGAGACGTGAAGGCTGAACTATTCAACAGATAAACAACTGGTTGGACAGCTGCAGCCAGAGGGCTGTGGCCAATGGCTCCGTGTCCCGTGGAGGCAGTGATAGAGCTGTCCTCTAAGGGTCTATCTTGGGACCAATGCTCTTCAGCATCTTTATCAATGGCACAGGCAGTGAGATCGAGCATACCCCCAACAAGTTTGCTGATGGCACCAAGCTGAGTTGTGCAGTTGATACAGAGATGCTCAGAAAGCCGAGCAGCTCTCCTGCAAAGAAAAGCTGAGGGATCTGGGCTTGTTCAGCCTGAAGAAAGGACTCCAGTGAGACCTTTCAACACTTGAAGGGAGCTTATAAACAAGACTCGCACTGACTTTTTGTGTGGTCTGGGCTTCAGAGTTCACAGAAGGAAAAACAGCCTTCCCTGAAGGGGAGAGTCAGACTGAACCCAGCTCAAACTCTACCACTGCTCCTTGCTCAAAGCACCTGGAGTTATCAAATGGCTGTAACTGCCAAGGTGGCCACACCTGGGGCTCCAGAGGTGAGGTTAAAGGGCAGCACAATGTCTGTTCCACATCAGCAGCTCTGTCGTGTCCAGGAAGTACCAGAAAAACACAGCTCAGATCTGGGAGCCTGCATCCTTGCAAGGCATGGAGGTTGGATGCAAAGATGGTGCAGATCCCACCCAAGGCTGACAAGGTGGAGGTGCCAATAGCCTCACATGGAGTACAGAGCCCATCTAGGCTGTGTTCTTGAATGGACCTCGTTCTCTCACCTTTCTTGTCTTCCCTTTGTGCATTAGATTGCAATGGAGACACAGATCCAGCATGTCAGGAGCGTCAGAAGTTCCACTCACTCAGAAAGGCAGAACAGGGGCTGACAAGGTGGATCTCAAAGCAGGAGGCAAATGTATGAGTCTGGTCAGCAGTGGAGAGGCTTGCTATATCAATGAACACTGATGATCTGGAAAAAGAGAGCGAGAGAATCTATCATGAGCCGCGACAGCTCCAGCCAGAAGCAATCGGAGCAGCGATCAATCAGCACTGCATTAAATCCTGATCTGAAACCACACTGCCAGGCAGCTGCTGCCCATGAAGCACAGCTCTGGGCTTAGAAGTAGAAGCACCTGTGACACCAAAAAATGGGAAACTGGGACCAGGAAGGAAAGGCACAAGTAAAAGCATAGGTGAAATCAAGTCTTATGTTGGAGGTGGCCTGACAAAGAAGAGGTAGGGCAGCACATTAAGGAGAGTGGCAGAGATAGGAGCAGTTTGCGAAGGGACGACTGTTCCTAAGCCACCTCCAGACTACTGGGTTTGGTAGCACAGGGCCACGTTAAAGCCAACTCTTCCCACCCAGGAATGCCAGGCAGACATTGCTGCCTACCTCACCTCTCAGTGGGAAGCACATTACCTACCAGGGAAGGCTCCTTCTTTCATAGAATCATAGAATTACAACGTTGGAAAGGACCTACAAGATCATCTAGTCCAACCATCTTCCCATTACCAATACTACCACAAGCCACTAAACCGTATCTCGTAGCTCCTCATCCAGTCCATCATTTCTACAGCATTTCCATTTAAGCTACTTTAAGAAGCAGCCACAGAGATACAAACTGTTGTCAGAGTGCTGGCAGCAAGGATTTACAGCCAGCCTTAAAACAAAACAAACCACAGCAGTTTGTGTTCACTTTTCCCAGCAGCTGAACGCCTGCCTGCAGCAGGGCCTGAGTGCCTCATACTGAAACCTTCCCTCGTTTCCAAGCCACTGGCAGCACAAACTCAGCTGACCCCAGAACAGCAACGTGGATGTTTGCTGAGGGCTAAGGTCCAGTCCTGCCCCTGCAACCACTTGTGCACGTAACAAATACCACTTGCAGTGCTCGGGCCACGCAGCAGGGCGGCTTTAGCACCGTTTCTCGCATCTTCTCTTAGGCTGGGACTGGAACCATGTCCCTTTCTCAGGCTCCAGGATGGAGCACGGGGCTGATGAGCCCCTGCCGAGTCCCTGCACCGATCCTACAGCCGACAGGGTCAGCGTTATACCGGCCGAGAGCTCCTAAAAGTGGATCGGTCAGCGCTGAGCTCCGATGAACTCCGCCAACCACCCGCCCCCCTCACAGCCCCCACAGTGCTGCGGCTAACATGGCCGCCGCGAGGCGGGAACCGCGCAGCCACGCTCAACATGGCGCCTCGTCGGTTTGATGGACGTAGAGGAAAACCAATCAGCTTGCGAAGAGGGAGAGAAGAAGACCAATCAGCTAGCGAGAAGGGAAGCAGAAAACCAATCGGTTCGCGGAGGGCGGGCGGTGGGTGGTGTGCGGCGCCACGTCGCGATGTCCCGTCTGTGGGGCCGAGGAGCAGCGTCAGTCTGAACTCATTCCGTCCCTGCATGGTCCTGCATACTCCTGCGGTGTGCAAACGGTTATGGCGTGTTGTGTCAGAGTATCATAATGGCTGGAAAAGACCTTTGAGATCCCCAACCCATCCCCACCATTCCCACTGCCCGTGTCTCTCAGTGCCACATCCCCACGAAGCACCTCCAGGGATGGTGACCCCCACTCCCTGTCCCAGAGCATTACAACAGGGCTCCACCTTGGGACCAGTGCTCTGTAACAGCATTTTCAATGTCACAGCAGGATTGAGAGCCTCCTCAGCTGCTGATAAATGACACTAAGCTGAGTGGTGCAGTTGAGACGAGATGGAGGGGACAGTGTTCAGAGGGAGGGGGAAAAGTGGGGGAGGGGGGGGTCCAGAGGAGGGCATGGGGATGCTCAGATGATGGAGCACCTCTGTATGGGGACAGGCTGAAGGAGCTGGGGATGTTCAGCCTGGAAAAGGGAAGGCTGCGAGGAGACCTCACTGAGGCCTTCCAGTGCCTGAAAAGAGCTGATAAATAGGAGGGAGAAAAACTTTTCACACAATCTGATAGTGATAGGACAAAAGGGAATGGCTTTAAACTAAAAGATGGGCAATTTAGGTTGCGAGCAGGAAACCCCCATCCCTGCAGGCATTCAAGGCCAGACTGGATGTGGCTCTGGGCAGCCTGGTCTGCTGATTGGCAGCCCTGCACACAGCAGGGGTTTGAAACTAGATGACCATTATGGTCCTTTGCAACCCAGGCCATTCTATCATTCTATGATTCCATGAAATTCTTTCCCCAGAGGCAGTGAGGCCCCAGCTCTGCTACCCAGAGCTTCAGAACTATGGGTGCCCCCATCCCTAGGGGTGATGAAACCATGGATGGGCACTGAGCAGCCTGAGCTGGGGGGCAGTCAGCCCACAGCAGAGGGTGGGGATGGGAGGGAATTAAGCTCCCTTCCAACCCAGCCATGCTGTCATTCTAACTATACATTCCATGATCTGCCCCCAGTACAGAGGTGATGCTGACAGCTGAGCAATTCCCTGGGCTAACCCTTGCTCACCCTTGGCTGCGATACCGATACCGCCTTGTTTCCCTGATGCACCCCTCCCTAACCCTCCCAGAAGATCACAGAATCACAGAATGACTTGGGTTGGAAGGACCTCAAAGATCATCTAGTTCCAACCCCTCTGCTGTGAGCTGAATTGCCAACCATTAGATCAGGCTGACCAGGAAACTCTCAAGCTTGCCCTGGAACACCTAAAGGGATGGGGCATTGACAGCTTCTCTGGGCAGCCTGTTCTCCCACCACCCTCTGAGTGAAGAATTTCATCCTAACATCTAACCTAAGCCTCCCTTCTTTCTGGTTATATCCATTCGCCCTTATCCTATCCCTGTCTATCTGTGTAAGAAGTCAGCCCCCCTCACATAAAATCAGAATCACAGAATAGCCCACATTGGAAGGGACTTCAGGGATCATGAAGCTTCAACTCCCCACCAATGCAGGGCCACCAACCTCCCCATCTCACAGCAGCCCAG